GTAGTGGGATGAAACTAAACAACACTTGATATGAGATTCGGGCTTTGTCCAAGCTTTGTCCAAAATCGGAAATGGTCATAAACCATAGTTAATGGAATGGAGTACCCTCTGGTAAATTAACATAGACCCTGAAAATAGCCTAATTTTAATGGAAACTAATCTTCCAATCCCTATCTGCCAGGGTCTATGTTAATTTACCAGAGGGTACCATTTTTTTTTGAAAAAATACGATCAGTTTTAACATGTTTAGAGGTTTGATGTGCCATTTTGCTGGAGATATATTTCATAGCCATGTCATTTTTTTTACATATCCCACATTGGCCAGGACGGCACTTATTGGGTACGGTATAGGGAAAAAGTAAGACGAAAGTCGTTGGCTGTTGCCTTTGAATTTTTCTCAGCCATGTTTTGGTGTTTTTTCATCCGGGTGTTTGTTTCTGGGAATGTGCATAAAAGATCATAAAAGTGGACTTGGAAGACTTGCCTGCAACTTTTGAGGCTCAGACATATCATGATTTGGCAGCTGAGATGTTTCCGAAAAGTCGCTGCATCCGTGATCCTTGATCCGATCCGAATTCCGTTGGCTCGCAGATAGCGCTTGCGATTTCTGAGCGATGACGGGCAGCCTGTTTCTGGCTGGTGGTTTCATTTGTTTTTCAGAGTACATTATATTATATACCCTCTGGTAAACTAACAGTTTGCTATTGAAAATGGCCATTTATAGTGGATTTTCCCATTAAAAATGGTGATTTTCCATAGCTATGTTAAATTACCAGAGGGTATATATATATTGATTTTGCAGGTGATGATCTCCCCATTTACCAATCAATTACATCAAAATATGTATGAGATAATCACCTGCACAAACATATATGTATATATATAATATATATATATGATGTTGTAGGTTTATCTCATTTATATCCAATTAATGAGATCCCATTTAAGATCCAGCCAATCTCTTTTTTTTTGTGCTAGTAAATTTCCTATAAACTTGTTTTTTTCCTGTCATTTTCCAGGTACCAAAGCCATAGGAAAAACGAATCCAGGTTTGATTTGACGGACATCTCCTTCTTCGAGCTGGACCGTCTCTTCGCGCGCAGCGCCAAGACCTTGAAGCGACGGCAGCAGAAGCGCAGGCGTAAGGAGAAGCGGCGGAACGATGGGAACGAGGAGTCCTCCAGTTCGGAGACTTGGGAGAAGACCCAGAGGGTTAGCCTCTGGTAATGACTAACAGTTTGCTATTGAAAATGGCCCAGTCGAAATAGTGGATTTTCCCATTGAAAATGGTGATTTTCCATAGTTATGTTAGTTTACCAGAGGGTTACCCTCTGATTGGAGTAGGACGATTGGACATACTAAGACTATTGGGATTTGATGAGCATTCAGGATGATTTGGATGATTGGACCAAGACATACTAAGAATTTTACCTCTGACCATTCAGTGAAAATGTTCATTTATATATATATTTGGGCTTAATAGGGATAAAAATGGGATCATAGTAGGACTAAGACATACCCTCTGGTAATTTAACATAGCTATGGAAAATCACCGTCATTTTCAATAGCTATGTTAGTTTACCAGAGGGTAAGACATACTAAGACTATTATAGACTCTTGGGATTTGATGATTACTATTCAGTGGCGGTTTTTCAAACGAAAAAGGGGGCGGAGGCTCAGAAGTTTCGCCATGAAACATAGGGAACATGGCCACTTATAGTAACTATTAACCTTCAATTAATCACTATTAATCACTATTAATCACTATTAATCACTATTAATCACTATTAATCACTATTAATCACTATTAATCACTATTAATCACTATTATTCACTATTAATCACTATTAATCACTATTAATCACTATTAATCACTATTAATCACCTATGAACCTTATGGTTCAATAGGGAGAATACTGGGATGGGATGATTGGATATGATTGGGGGTTTGGCGTCCAGTAATCAAACATGGCCATTGACAAACAACACTAATGGAGGTTTCTAGCTGGAAATAAATCATCTATACATGGTGATCATTGCTCAGAAACTTGGGAGAAGTTTTTTGTTAACCCAGGACAAACCACATCACCAGTTAAGAATATATTGAATTTGGGGCTTCCTTTTTTTAAACAACACATTTGAATTCAAAAACTTGAAATTCTTTGGATTTCACCAAAAAAACACTGGGAATTCTAAAGCCGGCCAACCTCTGGGAGGGAGTTCACCACTCAAAAATCATGCGTGGGACACCGAAAAACACATCAGAAACCCTGGGAAAAGGCAAGGAACACTTTTAGGTCGGTGTCAAGTGTTCAAAAGTAGCCATTTCAAAACTGGATGGATCAAAAATTAATGGATTAACGGATTATAATACTCTATATTAATGGATTAATGATCCCTAATCCCTATAAGACTCTACTGGATGGTGGTTTGGAACATGAATTGTATGACTTTCCATATATTGGGAATAATCATCCCAACTGACTAATATCCTGTTTTGGAAACAATTGATCCTGTTTTGGAAAATGGCAATCTGATTGGTGGTTTGGAACATTTGGATTATTTTTACATATATTGGGAATATATTTTTCCCAACTGACGAACTCCATCATTTTTCAGATGGGTAGGTCAACCACCAACCAGCAAAACTGGATGCGTTTTTGTTGAAATGAGGAATAACCCCAAAAATCCAATGCTTCAGCATCATTGTTTCAAGCATACACCTACATGTGAACCATGTGAACCACCAGTCATGATACATCCCAATTCTCAATGTGTAGTGCTTACTTAATACATTTAAATATTTAATGTGTTTTATTGTTGGTTAAACACCCACTTTGGCTGTTTTTTTCATGTACATCTCCCATTTGGGTTTGTTTGAGAATAGGGGTACCCTGAAATTTCATGCTTCATCATCGAAATTTCTCCGTTGACAATCCGCCGTTTTAAGGGTGGTATCTGATATCTCCCATTTTTTGGACAAACCCAAATTAATCATATCAAGTTCGTTACCCATGGATATTTTGAAACCTGGTTTTCTCAGTTAAATTTCAATCCCGCGATCTCCCCATCGTATCGCCGTGATCCAAACTCATTTCTATTCATTGCATAGATCTGGGTAAATCATAACGACCTCACTGTTCTCCCGAAGCCTGGAAATCATGGTTTATGTTAGGGAAATTATCCCCAGCCATGGCCGAACTATTCAGGTTAGTGAAATATTATAATTTACCCAGATAGATAGGGAAATTTGATGGTTACCTAATTACTTCTTTTAATGATTACTGTAAACTACCATTTTTGTCGGTTAAATCCGCAATGTTTACCAGATGTTTATTGTTGGTTAAGTTCTAATTCAATCATACCCTCAGTATATCTCCATTACTGGGTAAATATTGAATGGATAGCTGAGTACTTGAATCATTTGCTATGAATGTGGAGATCTACTGATGAGCTAAGAATTCAGTTTTTGCAGGGTATCTAAGATTAGCCATGAATTGATTATGGAATAGGGAGTTGTACCTGGCTTGGGGACTAACTAACCCGAGTAAGGACACCTATCAACCATATTCAAGCATTATATCCTCAGTATGTGTCCACTTCCATGATGTGGGGATGTATTAAAGCCTATTGCTACCCTCTGGTAAACGTTTACATAACTATGGAAAATCACCATGTTTAATGCGAAAATTCACTATTTCTATGGCCATTTTCAATAGCTATGTTTGTTTACCAGAGGGTATATTTGAGGAGTTATTCAGATCCCAGCAAATCCCAGCTAATTTTGGGTGAACAGAAGAGTACCAGGGTTTTTGACTCACAGCCATCTCCTTATGATATCTCTATCATAAACAGACACTACGTATCCATATTTACATTCCATTGAAGCTGTGAACCATATTTCCATATTCAATTTAATCCATGTGATATTTAAATGATGTTTTTATATGAATATACATTCCATACACTTAGTCCATTATCTCCATGATAAACAGATAATGCATAATCCATAGAAGTATTATACTTAAACATAACCCATTATTTACTTAGTCCATTTAATGATGTAATAATCCCATATAATACTCTATGATATACTCAATCAATCCGATATGATACTCTATTGATTGTATCGGATTATTCATCATTCTATTATTATCATCAGATTATTATTATGATATACGGACTATTACATCTATATACTGGTTAATCCATAATCCATTATCTACTCTGTAATCCATTAAATCATATCAAGATAGATATATCATATCGATTATTACATAGTCCATCATTGCATAATATCGTTACATCATAAACGATCATAACAATTGGATACATGATATAGTAATGACAATTTTAATAGATAATTATTATGATGGATATTTATATGATGGATCCATTTTATCATTATTTTATTATATAAACGATCCATTATATAGTAATGATACATTAATAATGGATACATTTAATTATCCAATTATTATATAATTATGAAGTAATGGGATATATCAGTAATTGATGGATCCAATTCAGTATACAATAATAATACGTTTGATAATCCATTAATCCATTAATTAATTCATTTAATCCATTATAATACTCTATGATAATAAGTCATATCCATTAATAATCCAGTATTTGATCCCCAATTAATAATCCATTACTCGATTAAAATGGATAAATGGATTAATGGATTATCATACTCTATATTAATCATTAAGTCGGATTATTAATCATTTGATAGATATGGTGTAATGGTTTATATTAATGGATTAATGGATTATAATATTCTATATTGATGGATTAATGATCCCTAATCCCTATAAGACTCTACTGGTTGGTGGTTTGGAACATTTTTTATTTTTCCATAATACATGGGATAATCCTTTCCATTGACTAATATTTTTCAGCCTCTGTGCCCAAGTGGTCCGGTACCTCCCAGTTGGTAGGCTGGAATCAACCGAAGACCGGTGTTGTCTTTCATTGTTTTGCTTTAGGGTGCCATGGATCCTGACAAAGCGTTGGTGATGCAAGTTGATTCAGTGGGGTTTTCAGCTCATCGAATCTCATTTGGTGGTGTCAAGGGGATCTTGCATACCGATGTGCAATGGTCTCAGCATTTTCATGTGGGCGGTCTCATTTCCATCAAGGGATTCCAGACACAATGGTATGAAGGTGAACTCCAGTTCTATGCCATGAGTAAAGACGGAGCCATGATTTTCATGCATGCCTCTGAGAAACGTGGGCGATTGAATACCATGGAGACTTTCGCAGGTCTTGCTGGATGGACACAGGTGTTGAAGCATTTTGATGACCAGCCAGTTTTGTTGGTTGAAGCCGACTTAGAAACTGCAAAGGTTTGTGCCGCACAGATGGATGCCCCATGCATTGATGCCAAATCGTATGTTGACAGGGTGCTCAATGGTGAACATTTTCCAGTATGTGTGTTGGCCGATAAGGTGGAGAATCCACTGGTGTGGGTTGCTGCTGGACTGGCTAATGTGGACCGTGTGGTTGGTTCCCCGCCATGCCAACCTTGGTCCGGTGCTGGCAATAACAAGGGTTTGACATGTGAAGACGGAAGAATTTTTCTCACTCACCTGGAATGGGCTGTGTTCATGAGAATTTCTGTTGTAGTGGTTGAGAATGTTGCAGGTTTGCCGAAGCATGGTGATTTCAAAGAGATGGTACGTAAAGTTGCTGAGCAAGGGTTGACCCTTAGGACACAAGGGGTTTTTGCATGCCATCAGTTGCTGCCTGTTCGTCGAGATAGGTGGTTAGGAACTTTTGTCAGCAATGAAGTGGTTGTTGATGAGGGACGTGTGAAAATCGCCAACTATGTGAATTTCGCCAGTTGCATGTTTGCCTGCGTTGCCAAGACGCCCAAGTTAGGGACCTTTGACATGGAACACAAACGATGCCAGCCTGCTGAAAGGGAGGAGTTGATGATTCCTAATGAGGCCTTGCAGTTGCTTGGTGACCCCGATGTTGCACCATGGTGGTTGAAAGGTTCATGTGCCGGCATGACACATGATGCCTTGATTGAGGGTCGTGTTGTAAAAGTTGGCCAGCAATGCCCATGTTTCATGGCTACATACGGCAAACAACATGAACTTGACATGAGCTTGTTGAAGGAAAAGGGGTTGCAGACGATGTTGATCCGTGATGGTCAAGGCATTCGCATGTTGTCACCATGGGAAATGTTAGCTGCGATGGCATACAAGCCAGAGACCATCCTGAGTTCCAATGTTCATGAAGCATGGAAACAAGCTGGAAATGGATTGTCAGCAGTTCATGCGTGGCTTGCCATCCATAGAACATGCGTGCTGTTGGGAAAAGATTCACCGTGGGTTGGACATGTCGACCCAGCAAAACATGTGTTGGAGGTTGTTCAAGCAGGTATGCAACTTTCCTGTTTTGAATCAGTCAAGGCCGCAGGCTTGTGGAAGCTGGTTGAGTGTGACAATGAGCCTGCAGCAAAGAAAAGTAGGAATGAGGAGGTGCCTCCAACCGTCCCTATTCAAGTTGATGATGAAGATGAAGACGGTGTTGCCTCGACAAAAGCATTCGAGAAGTGTCCCAAGTTTGTGCAAGCCAATGACCCTAGGTGGAATGCTACCCTTGCTGCAGTTGGGGGCAACAAGTTGGTCATTTTGGAACACATGGAAAAGCATTGGGTCATGTTTGTCAATGTGCGTGAGGGTGATAAAATTGGTACGACTGTCAGAAAAGGGATGCCACATGCTGATGCCTGCCATTTCCTTAGCTTGAGGGTTGATGACGTCAAGATGGAATGGAACCAGGCTCTGCCCAACAAAGCCATGCAGAAGCTTGTGTTTGATCCAGTCTTCTCTGTCCTCACATGCCGAGAAGAATCAATGCCGCTTACTCTGAAGCTGCAAGCCGATGTTACATGGACAGCACGTACTGCATTGTCGTACATGGCTTGTGAAGTCGGCTGCAACCCGGAGTCTTTGTCCATGTTTCATGGTAGGATCGAAATCCCAGACAATGCCTTCCTGGGCCAATATGATACTGTGGAGTTTGACCTGAAGTTCAAGGCCTGCTTACCAGCGTATGTGTCATGGGAAAGAAGCGGTCGCCAAGTCAAGGATCCTGGATTTGTGCCGTCTGCTCATGATGCCAGATGGTGTGTCCGACATCCCAACAGGAAGATTGTGCGAACATGTGCAGCCGATGCTCAGGCAACAGTGTCAGGAATTGTTCAGATGCTTTTCCCGGATTTGCATGCCAACACGCCATGGAGTGTTTTTAGTGACACGGTGGAACTTGCACCAAATGCCCAGGTCAACTCAGTTGTGAAGTTTACCATCCAAGGGGATGGCGCACGTCCATTCCCAAGAACTGAGGTCACGAAGGTCAGATGGACGCAAGAGATTGATACCCCATCGGTGCAATCCAAAATTGTGAAAGATTGTCGAACTTTGGTGGTCAGATCGCCCTTTCGAGCAAAACCTTGCGAAATCAAATGTCCCAATGATGCAACTGTAGCAGAAATCGCTGCGAGCTACCTGACCATGTCAAAGGTCTTCACAAGCATGATTGCCTCACAGAATGGGCAAGTTGTTGACCCTTTGATGCGTGCAGAGTACATCAATGAAGCGGCAGTGCTTGACGTGAGAATCTGTCCTTTGATGGGAGGTGGAAAGGCTGAAAAGAATGAGATGTTGAAAAGTAAATTGAAGTCCATGCTCACTGATCGAGGAGTTCCACAAGACGCTGTTGTAGACAGGGTTACGGACTTGTTGAGTAAGATTCAGTATGACAAACTGAATGCACTTGGTGATCCACAGGAGGCAGGTACATGGAAGACTCTCAAAGAGCTGGCAAGTGAGGCACGTTTTCGTTTGATTTTACCTGCCGAGCTGAAGGCATTTCAACAAAAGAATCGAAAAGAAAAGCCTTCGACAAAGAGTGAAGTCAAGAAACCCAAAACCTTTACACCAGAAGCTCATGCCATTCAGGTGGATCCTGCTCACTTTCAAGCAGAAGGAAAAAAGGTGCAAATGTTGGAAACCAGCCGTTTTGGGCCGGACCAGTCAGGCTTATGCATAGTGTCGCCAGCAGAAGCGCAGAGATGTATGCAAGTTTTGGCTCGGTCGTGTGATCCGTTAGCCCTGTTGGTCATTGGAGAAGGGGTGCAACAATTGGGAAGTACGTTTTCGATGCCTGCTCACTTGTCCAATGGGTCGCCAGTGATTGTCAAAGCATGTCTGTTACAGTTTGGTGACACTGACATTGAGTTCAAGTTGCAGCTGCCCATGGCTGATGTTGTGCAGACGGCGTCCACAGTCATCGAGTTTGGCATTTATAAGAACTTTGTTGGAAGTTGGCAAGATACTGCTGTTCCCCTGCACTATGTTGGTGTCCATGTACCTGCATTAAGGGGCAATAACCTTTTGGCGGTTTGGAGTGTCAAAGCTTGGAATGACAACAAAGTTGTACACCATCAACAGGCCAATCATTGGCATGGATACTTTCGTGTTGCTGATGTTTTACTTGCACAGGTTTTACCCCGAAGTGGATCTGCAGGCATTTTCATGAACCCAAAGACGCTTGACAAGAAGCATGATCCACGGTACACCACAGTTTCTTTGCCTGCAAAGCAGTTGAGTGAGGTCATGGCCAAAGCAGAGGCCTGCTCCAAAGCCTTGGGAATTGCCAAAATTGGGGAAAACTTTGCCATCAGATGCCTGCGTGAGGACGCAATTTGCATTCGAGCTCAGCTGTTGCCTGAATCAGCCTTTGTTGAAACAGCGACATGTCCCCAGGATCAGGTATTGTTTGTTGCCAGAAATGTCCCACAAGTTTGCCGTGAAGAATTGACCGAAGCGCTGAAGAAGACTGGATGGGAAGCAACAGCTGTCCGTCCCCAGGGCATGAATCGGTGGATCATAGCAGCCAAGTCAGACCCAGCCAACAGTCATGTCATCATCAACGGAGCCATAATGATGGTCGAAAGGCTCAATAAGGGCCAAGACAGCGTGCCTATCACCATGGTTGCCAGAGAGGTCAGAGTCAACACGACCCAAGAAAATGGGGTAGTCTCCACCACCTCCAGGTTTGCAGAATTCCGTGCACAGGTTGAAACTCAGATTTCTCAAGCTGTTGAAGCAAAACTGCAGATGGCCAATACCAAGATAGAGCAGCTGACGCACGCACTTCAAGAGGTTCAGAACAAAGCCGAGATGTCGCACTCAAATCTTGCAAGTGATCTAGGACAGGTTCGAGAGGAACAAGCCTTCACTCAGAAGAAACTTGCTGAAGTGGAATCAACTGTGGCCAGCAATGGTCAACAGATAATCGCCCAAATGCAGAACATGTTCACAAAGATGCAGGCCAACATGGAGCAGACGGTGCAAGCATTGGTCAATGATCCTGACAAACGACAGAAGACCGAAGCCAAGAATGATCCATTTGCCAAGAAGGCTTGACATGTTAGGCAAGGGAAATTTAATGTGAAGTTTCCCAGAGCCTTCTTTTGCATGCTTCTGTTCGTAGGTGTTGGCCTTTCAGGTGCACTGCAGATCGGACGACATGGTTGCACGAGGCAATTCGGTGAAATGCATGATCAGTTTGCGGAATCTACCTCCGGGTTTTCATCTGGGGGGATGCATAATTTTGTTCATTGTGATGGAAGCCAACCGCACTTAGGGGAGCAACGAAGAGTTGTCCATGCCCATGTTACCACCCATAGCCATGCCGAAGTTTGTGGGCGGTGGTTGGACAGGACTCATCAACCGACTCTTTGCAAGCCTGAAGTTCCAAAAGGTGACCGATGTCCCAATGTTCCTGGTTGTGATCCTTGTCACACGTTGCTAAGTAAAGCTCTTAATGTTCCAGTAGTTGCCCAAGAGCGTGACTTGCATGCTTGCCAGAGCTTTCCTGTGCATGTTGGAGAAAACCACAATCACGTGGATGGTTGTGAAAATTGGTGTAATGACAAACCTTTGTCGGTAAGTAACTTACATGAGTGCTTTCTTATCGGTGGTGAGTGTATAATGGAATTGGATGATGATTGCAATGGAAATGAATTAGATGGCCGACCGTTTCGTGGCGGCAATGAAATGAGCAGACAATGCCTCTGCAAAGCATGTTTGCGTAGCCGACCGTTTAGTGGCGGCAGTGGTGAAAGATGTCGACCCTTTAATGGCGACAATGATGATGGTCGTCTTGATGAGGGCGGCAAACATGTGTATAGCCTACCTTTTCAGGGTAGGGATTTTGGTGATAGCCCACATCAAAAGAATGACAGCCTCCGGCAGTTAGTCATTGGAGGCATTAATTTGTTTGAACGACTGAGCTCCCGCATGCCCTTTGACCTTTTGTTTTCATGGGGTCTGCGCTTGCAAGAACGTTGTTTTTGCCATGTTTTTGTACGTTGGAGCAGCACCGATTGCTTTAGATGCCATCGACGGGAGGTGGAAGTCTCCTATGACATGTTTCTTGCCCCAACCTTTTTCTTCTGCAGATGGAGTAGAGGCAAATTTTGTGTGTATAGATATGCTTACTGGCCATGCCCTACTTACAGCTGTTTTCATGTTTTGTCCATGATTTCCCATGCACAGGTTTGGCGTGTAGGAGAAGCTTTGAACCCGGGACCGGTGGTGGTCCGCACTTTCAATCCTGCACAGCTGCTTGGTCATGAGAGTGAAATTTGTAAATGGCCGGATGGAATCTGGACAGCGTCCGAGACATCACACATAGTTGCGGCACTTGGAGTTCTCAAACGCAGATTTCATCAAAACGATGTCCATTCTGTTTTCAGCCAGCCTGTTGAGAAACATTCCAACAATGCAGGATCTTATAGAGGTAAGGCCATGGGTACAGCCATCCTTTCAAGGTTACAGCTTGTACCATACCCCATGGAACTGGAACATGATGTCAAAGCTTCCTGCAGGTTCAGCGATGCATTGGTCCACTTGGGACATGGGGTTCGTGCGTATGTTTGCGTTGCGTATGCACCACCTATCAATAACTGCACTTATGCCAATGGTGAAAAGGTTTTTCTTAATGCCATTCTGCCTGGTCTTCAAAGAGCCACCAACTATAAGGGCCCCGCTCTGATTACTGGTGATTTCAATCGTGATTTGGGAGATTGCATTTTTTGGGAATCCTTGCGTGCAAAGGGATGGCATGATTGCGCTGAGCTTGCGTGGATGATGCATCAGAAAGTTCCAGAACCCACTTGTAAGGATGCCGCACGAAGATCTTTCATTTTGGTGAATGACATCATGGCGAAGTTTTTTAAAGACTGCGGTACGGTTGACCACCACATGTTTGATGCTCACCCGGTCTTGGAGGCTACGTTCGATGTTGGTGAAAGTCCGTGTTGGAAACAGGTGTGGTCGCTTCCCCGAAGTGTGGATGGCCTGCTTTTTGATAATGCGATGTTGGAGAAAAATTGTGAGGTGGCTTGTAACAGAAGGGGTCATAAATTCCAGGAGGCCCTGGCTCTTGGACATGCTGACAAAGCACTCGAGCAGCTTGCACTAGCTTTCGATGACATGATACGCCATAGTGCAGTCGATGTTGAAGGTCACGAAATACCTGTTCCTGCAGCATGTTTCAAGAGATGTCGTGCCAAAGCTGTGAAGAAAAAACCCATTTCTGCACACGTTCTTCGGCCAGGCAGAGAGGGGGACGTTCATGTGTCCATAGGTCAAATCTCTATTAAACTCAAACGTAGGGTTACTCAGTGTCGACGTCTGCTGAGCTTGGGTAGACAACTTCGAGCACGTGAAAGGAATCCTACAGGTGAGAACTTGATGCAATGCAATATGCTTTGGATGGCTATTTGCTCTGCCAGCGGGTTCCATAAAGGGTTTCAGCAATGGATCTTGGATGAAATTGGATGGTTTGTCCCTTCCTGCTTGCCTGAACGTGTCTACGTGGAAGGACTGTATGAAGTCTTGCATGACATGGTACAGAAGGAGGTCAGAGGTGAGAGGTATGAACAATTCAAGCGCTTCAATAAGCTCTCACTTACTGATCTTGCCAAAGGAGGAGGAATGGCCTATAAGGCTGTTAAAGAGAAATCTGCACCACCACCCACCTTTATGTCCTATGACGTTGTGCAACCGCTTGCCAGACAGAGATGGACTTTGGGTGGGTCTCAGAGGCTTAGGTATAAGCAACCGTGTGTTTTGGAAGTGGGAATGCCAGTTAATTTTCAGGGGCAGCAAGCCATTCTCAAGGAAATTGATGCCGACTTCCTTCACCTTGACAGGACGGTGAAATGTCGGTCTATGAATGATTTGATGCTCACACAACCCAGAAAAGAGGCGTGCCCACAAAAAATGCAAAGCATGGTCTGCGATGCTTGGAACCAATTTTGGCAGGCACCTGATGTAGTGAACCATGAAGCTGATGCCTTTGTACAAAGCTTAAATGACTGTCCGTCGTGTCCTTTCCAGGAGATTCAGCATGACACTTGGAGAAGATGTTTGAAGGGAGTCAAAATTAAAAGTGCAAGGGGTGCTTGTGGTTTTTCTATGCGTGATATGCAAATGATGCCAGATCAATTGCTTACATGGCTTTTCATGCTGTACCGAGCCATTGAAAATGGTATGCCGTGGCCCTCCAGACTCACTTTGGCTCGAGTCACCATGTTGGCCAAGCCCGGGGAAGATAACCACAGACCAACTGCGGTGCGGCCAATCACCATTGTGAGTGTCATTTACCGGCTGTGGAGCAGATTTAGGAGTTTGCAGGTGATCCAACATCTAGGGGCATTGGTACCTCCTCAAATTGGGGGAATCGCGGCTAGGTTGAGTGCTGACTGTCTTAATGCATTGGTGTGTGACTGGATTGATGAAGCACATGAAACAGGCTTACATAGATGCGGTCTTGTCATAGATCTGAAAAAGTGCTTTAATTTGATTCCACGTTCCACTCTTGCCAAACTTATGCACAAGCTCAAGATACCTGGTCGATACATCACTGCCCATCAAAGCATGTTGGATGGTTTGCGCAGACTGGTTGAAGTTGCAGGACAGGTTGGAGATGAGCATTTCAGTACGTGTGGCGTTCCTGAGGGGTGTGCATTCAGTGTTGTTTCTATGGTTACGTTGACCATTTTGGCGGCAGAAATCATGCAAGATGGAAATGCCGGCATCAGCATTGTAATGTACGCTGACAACTGGGGACTTTCAGCTGTTTCGGTGTCGCTTCTCCGTGAGGCCATTGCACGACTGGAAAGACTTGTTTCTAGCTTAGGCATGGAAATTTCCCCTGAAAAGTCTTGGTTGTGGGGCACCAGTACGTACATCCGACGCCAGTTGCAACATGTCACTTTGAATGGCCAGCCGGTTTGTGTCAAGTTGTCTGCAAAAGACCTTGGGTGTGATGTGTCATATAGCAAAAAGAAGTGCAAGAGGGTGGCAAAAAACCGACTTTGCAAAGCTGTTGCAACACTTCAAAGGGTCAAGAACCGTAAGTTACCTCGTCAGTTTAAGGGTAAGATGTGTGCCACTCTTGGTGCTGGTATTGCAGGTTTTGGATCCGAATTCCATAAACATACTGCCCAAGAAAATCATCGGCTACGTGCCGCCACTGCAGAGGCTCTGGGTTTATATAAATCAGGTGCCAATGCTTGGCTTGCCGTTAATGCCACCGGCCAATTCAGTGACCCTCAACTGCAACTTGCGAAGAGGAAACTTAAGTTTTTCAGGCGATATTTGCGCATCTTCCCGGATAGGAAGGAAGGATTTCTGAACCGTCTTGTCAACCGATGCTGGAAGTCCAATGCTGGAATTACCAAACAACTTGCGTCGACATTCAATGACATCGGTTGGAGGTGGATTGACAAGGAGGTCATGGAACACTTTTCTGGACTTCGGATGCGATGGCTGGAGGATTCTGTTCCATTTGTCATGCGGATGTTGCATAAAGCTTGGCCGTATCATGTGGCCAACCAAATTGAACGTCCGATGTTTGACACAGAAACCTTTGATGCCGCGTCATTTGCCAAAAGCATGCGCAATAGACCGATGCGCCACCAGGGCATCTTGCAAACCTATGCTTGCGGAAAGCATGTCACCAATGATGGGTTATCTCATTATGCCAGCAAATCTGTGAATGACAGGTGTGTGTTTTGCGGAGAAAAGGATGGCAAACTTCACCGCCTTTTTCACTGTAGTGGTTTGAGCGACTTGCGCGTTAAGCATAAAGATGTAATTGAGTGGCTTGGTGGACAGAATCAGGCAGTCTGGGCCTTTTGTTTGTTCCCCGTGGTTGGACAACCGCTCACCGAGAAAGTTTGTTTGCAGATTCCTCGCCAAAATGCCTTGCCTGCCCAGGTACATGGACGTAGACATGTTTACACAGATGGGTCGGCCTTTTTCAATACACACTGGGATTGTTGCTTAGCTGGTTCGGCGGTCATTGAATGGCAGCGTGAAAAGAATGTGATGGTGGAAGTCGTCAGGCAGATCTTGCCATTTCAGGATCACAGTTCTTATAGAGCCGAAGTTTATGCACTTGTCCTGGCCTTGGAAAAGTTTTGGTGTATGGACGTTTTTTCGGATTGTGATGCGGTTGTGTCCCAATTTCATGCGATGGGTGATGCAATTAAGCGTGGTGGAAAGGTCATCCTAGGTCAACATGCAGACTTGTGGGGACAAGTTTTATGGCACCTACAGCGTAGAAGTGAAGGTGACGTTCAGATGTTCAAAGTCAAGGCGCATGTGACAGATGTGAATGGTCTTTCGGAGGTACAGCGTCTCCATGCTTGGGGTAATGAATGTGCTGACCAAAGTGCAAAAAATGCGGTACGACTTGATCATGGCCCTCTTTTTCAAAAAATGGAAGCCATTGTACTTGAACGTGGTGCAGTTTTCCAACGCATGTGTGCCTTTCAGGATCTGTTGGTGACAGTATGCGACAGGTTTCTTGAGGCCACTCCCAGGAGAGAGGTGCCGTTGGCCTGCCCTGATTGGATTGCCCTTACTAAGGTGTCTGGTCCCTTGTTTGTCTTGCCGTGTCCGTCGCCTGAGTATGTAGAGGGTTGTCCATATACTGCCGTGTTTGCAAAGCGATTCCAATGCTGGATTCGTGGGGTGCAATGGGGTGATGGAGAGCCGATCAGTTGTTTGGAAATTTACATAGCATTTGCACTGGAAACTGGCATGATGGTACCCGTGCAGATAAGAGACAAGGTATATGCGCTGAGGACAGACTCAGTGGAGGCAGATCAATTTAAGCTGGACTTGTCGAGGCAATCACGAGTTTGGATTAAGTTTTTGCAATGGTGGTTGAAGGGAATCGAGTCACCGATTCAGATGCATGATGTTAAAGCCCTGAGGCCATTGGGTTTTTCCATTGCTGTCAAAGGTTTCAAAAAGAGGCCATGCCTTCCAGGAGCCATCGATGCAATGAATAACCTGTGGAGATACTTTCAGCAAGTGATGGGAACACATAAAACCATGTGTCGGCCGTGGAGTGTCCATACTCCATCTTTTGCGGTTGGTGGTGCATAGGTTGTACATTTTAGGTGAACGAAGCACGCCAAGCAGGCTTCGGTCATCGCCGCTCGTGAGACCGCGGCAGCCAACGGGAAAGTGGAAAATTGACTAATATTTTTCAGAGGGGTAGGTATACCACCAACCAGATTATAATATTCTATGATTATACCCTCTGGTAAACAAACATAGCTATTGAAAATGACCATAAAAATAATGGATTTTCCCATTAAACATGGTGATTTTCCATAGTTTTTTTAATTTTTACCAGAGGGTAAATGTTGATTACCATAACTGGTTGGTGGTTTGGAAGATGTTTTATTGTTCCATATATTTGAAAGATTACTATATTAATGGATCAATGATATACTTAATCCATTACACCATCCATTAATAATCCATTAATAATCCATTAAGAATCCATTGATATCCATTAGTAATCCATTATAATACTCTATGATAATAAGTCATATCCATTAATAATCCATTATTAATCACCATTTTTAATGGATAAATCCACTATTTCTATGGCCATTTTCAATAGCTTTTTGTATGTTTACCAGAGGGTAATCCATTACACCATATCCATGTCGGAGACTTCGTCAGCTCAGGAGAGATCAAGATCTCCTCCCAGGCGAGGTTCCTTGCGGATGGGAGGTCGAGTACTTCCACAGACCGGTGGCTTCACGGACAAGGCGCGAGAAATGCGTGTTTTTTTTGGGGAAAATGGCCATTCATATGGTTTAAAAGGGATAATATAGGGATAGTAATGGGAACATCATGGGATAATAATGGGATAACAATGGATAATAATGGTTAGTGATGGTTTATGATGGTTAATGATGGTTAATAGGGATAATAAATGGGATATGAATGATTTAATTCTTTCTAACGACCCATTGAATAGGGACAGCAAGGATTATTTAAGGAAATGGCCATTATGGCCATTATGATTCCATTTAATAACGGGATAGTAAATTAATGGAATAATAAATGGGATGAAAGATCATCAGTGGTTGCAACCCTTCTTTTAGGGGGGATTCAACATGCTCCATGATTCGTAATCACAAACCCACACCACCATTCTCAACCCATGATTGATTTGATTTGATCAAAAGAACCGGGAAATCCGGCAACCAAAATGAAGTCAAAATATCTCAGCTGGAGCATGCTGGAGCTGCCGAAAGGTTGGATATCCTTTGATTTTTGTAGTAGATATGATTACTGGATATCTCAAAGAAATGATACTCATGACTAGATATGATACTTTTTGTAAGTCCATTTCTTTATACTCGTTTTTTTTTCAGTGGAGAAATTGCGGAAAGATTCCTGGTTACCAAACAATGGGACTGATCGCGACTGGGCACTGGTTGGTCCTTGGGAACCCCAAATGGTACAGTAGCACGGGAACAACGGAGGAACTTTTAAAGCCCAGGTGAAAAAAAAACCAACCATCTGCGACAATCACCTTCAAATTTAAGGGGGTGATTAATATTAAATATCCCATGTTTCTTGGTTATGCATCCAAGTACATCCCACTATATCTATCTATATCGCAGCATACCCTCTGGTAAACTAACATAGCTATGGAAAATCACCATGATTCATAGTAAATTGTCATCAACTATCAATGGCCATTTGCAAGTTCGCAAACTGTTAGTCATTACCAGGCCGGGTAAATTTCCATGTTCCTATGGGTTTTCCTATGGTTTTCCCAGCTATAAACCTCCATTTTCCCATGGTTTTCCCCCGGAAGATCTCCATAACATGCGTCACCCAACGATCAGCCGATCAGCCTTAGGTTGGCTCTGTGGAGCGCACCATTGTGGTGACCGGCATTCCCTTTGGTGCAGATGAGAAGATCCTCTTCAAACATTTCAGCAAATGTGGGCTGATTGAAGCTGGGCGGCATGGAAAACATAAAAAAACATGATTTAAGTGGTGGGAAAAAAAACATTACAAGGAGGGATTATTTGATGGGATAATCATGGGATAATAATAATGCAATAGTGATATATCACCGTAGTCTAATAGTTATAGATTTATATAATGTTGGAATTTCAATGGCCATTTCAGGCACCGATTTATTTGAAGTACGTACCACATATAAGGCCTATGTAAGGGCTAAAATTCAGGGGATTTTACCCCAAAACATGGCTTTACATGCTAGAGTACCTCCATCTTAGCGTCCTGAAATTGCCATTGACAAAACATGAGATCTGGATCATATTTATCATGACCTCACGTTGCTTTCCTTCCCTGGAATGATGGTTAGGATTTGGGAATTATCAAGATTGTGAGCCTTATTTCAGGTTCCTGAATTAGTAATTATATATAATGTACCCAGATGAGAGGTTTAGTAGATTTTTACAGTGTTATTTTCCTTCCTCGGAACTACATTCTCAATTCTTCTTTCCATGGTCAAGCTTCCTTTCCCATATTGGGGGGTGGTCATCCCCTTAAAAGCAGGAAACAACTACTGTAGTGGCCAATGTAAAAAATCCCAATATGGTGGGATGACCATACCCAGGACCCACAGGCGATCCATAGCCCCGATCCATGCCCATAATCCATACATCATATCCCTAAAACCCTTGATCCATAGCCTAAAATAACAAGTTGATACACGTTCTACCAGAATTGGGTGGTATAGATAGTATAGACCCTCAAAATATGGCTGGTTTATTATTGCTTTACTAACATTCTATAGCTTCGGATCAGACCTCTCAAATAACCGTAACTCACTTGTTCCATACGTCCGGATCCCCGCGGAACGATCGTTTCCTTTTCACTTTTCACAATTTGGATTCTTACCCTCTGGTAATGACTAACAGTTAGCTATTGAAAATGGCCATTTATATTGGATTTTCCCATCAAAAATGGTGATTTTCCATAGTTATGTTAGTTTACCAGAGGGTAATTCTAACAGATTTTGAACATAATTTCCTTTTCAAAAGTTTTGCGCCATACCCATTTAGTTTGTTTAATGCCGCGTTTAAAATGATTTGTCAGAAAATAGGTCTAGCTTCCATGATTGATGGTGTATCAATCTAAGCTGGCTGGGTGGGAAATCACTACGTTCAATAGCCAAATTATCTACAAATCACCTATTTTTTAGCACGCCATTTTCGATTACCAGAGGCCAGAGGGTAAATATACCTGTATGTATATTGTATATAATCATATTACATACATTATATATAATATATATATATACACATACAGTTCCTTTTTGAATCTGTTTATCCAACCCAAAAAAGGAATCTGTTTTTTTTCCGTGATTGTTTGCATCATATATCGAGGGTGGGCAGCTGTTTCATCGTTGCTTCGCATCTGCGCAGGGCTGCCCCTGGGCCCACGACCAGGAAATGGTGAGATTAAGATAGCCATTTCTTACCCGTGTGAACACCAAAAAAATGTTATGTATCACCCCCAATGGTGAATCCCAATTATGTATCATGTACATTATAACCTATGATAATCATGTTCATCCAAAAACATCTTATATTTCACCATACGCGTTCAGCGTAGGGATTCAACAAGAGAAATTTTCACACCTCGCCAGGATGATCTGCAGATGATCTCCAACAAGAAGGCAGAGCGACTTGGATCTTGGGAACCTGAGGCTTGACCTGGTAGATGTCTGGTTATACAATTAATTGCAATAGTAAGAATGAGGTACTCATAGATATATTATATATAGGGTGTTAGTATAATATATATATATATATGTAAAGGGTATAATATATATATATACATGCACATGGTGTGTATATATCAACAGTGTGTGTATATAGGGTGTGTATATATATATATATAAATATACACGATGTATATTTGTATATTTAGGGCATACATAAATATATAGGCTGTATATATATATATATGTGCTGTATGTATACGTAGGTTGCATATGTATATATATACAGATGTAGGGGATATATAATATATTGTATATAGAGTATATATAAATGCATATATGTGGGGTGTGCATATATTGACTGGGTTGTTTGGATCAACCCATTCGAGTGATTACCAGTAGAACACGCTAGAACATGTTAAATCCTTTTTTTGATTGTTGATTCCATATTTATGATGTTTAAAACGCCACGTATTTTTTTTATATCCCAGTAATTCCTGCCATATCCCCAGTCTTGCTGGTTCAACTATCCACAAGCATGGTGGTTTTCCAAGGCCCACGGGCGTTGCCATCATCGAGTTCTCACAGGAGGAATTTGTGGGACGCGCTGCGGCGCTCACAGCGCCGTTCGATGAAATTCTTGGGCAAAGCGTGCAAGCGAAACGTGGGCTGCAACGAAGGGGGATTCAATCATCAAACATAAGGAGTTATTAATCCCATTTTTGATGGTTACCCTCTGGTAAACATACAAAAAACGATTGAAAATCACCACTTTTAATAGGTAAATCAACTATAACTGGGCCATTTTCCATAGCAAACTGTTAGTCTACTGGAGGGTATTTTTTTCCGTTGTTAGAGGATGAACCATCAAAAATTGCGGCGATGAGTGTGTTTTATTCCCACCAAAAAAATGGATGAACATTTGATTAAACAACAAATCAAAACTGGTTGGTGGTTTCATACATTTGGATTATTTTCCATGTCATATATGGGATGTCATCCTTCCCATCGACTTTCATATTTTTCAAGATTGTTGAAACCACCAACCAGAAAAGGGAAACAATGTTTTCTTGCAAACAAACATGTTGATATGCACAATTATAATGATTATAGTTACAGTATATCATAAACAATCCATGAGCACGAAGTTGGTTTTTGTATAAACCCAAATTTGGTTTCAATGGGATACTACAATCTATCTATCACACAAGGGACGTCAACAGCAATTGCAATTAATGGGATTTTTGAAAATTTGGTGCAACTGCTGAATAAAATGGGGGAACCATGTGAGTGTCATGTTTCTCTTTTCGGATCCCCTTAAACAGGGTTGCTCCAACCCATTATATGTAAATCAATGATAGCCAGGCTTGGGGGTAAATTCGTCATTTTACATCTATCTTTACCAAATTTACCCTCCAAACGTATTATCTGTGGTTTTTTGGAGCAAACCTGATTGTTGTTGCTGAATTTCCGGAATCGTCTATCAATATTCCATTAAATCCCATTAAATCCAATTAAACCCCATTAAATCCCATTAAATCCCAGTAAACCCTATTAAATCCTGGGAGTTTCCTCCCAGGAAGCGGGCAGATGCTCAAGTGCCCAAGAAGGACCCTGGACCCAAGAGGACCCTCACCCGGCAGCAGTTCACCCAGCAGGCCGCGTTGTTTATGAAACTGGGATAAATAGGGTCATGCGATAAAGCTAAAAATCACTATAAATGGGAAGTACCACAATTTATGCAGGTTTATATGAAGGTATTTAGCAACAAAATTTAGTATTTTAGGAAACCAATATAAATGGCATATATGTGGAGGTTTCCTAAAATGGGGAGTACCCCCAAGTCATCCAAATCATGGATGACCATTTTCGAATTGAAACCCATGGTTTCGGGGATTCCCCTTTTTAAGAAACACCATATATATATATACCCTCTGGTAAACTAACATAGCAATTGAAAATGGCCATTTATAGTAAGTTTTCCCATTAAAAATTGTGATTTTCCATAGCTATGTTAGTTTACCAGAGGGTATATATATATATTAATTACACAAATATAATGGGATTATCATTGATCAATGGGGATAAAATTGGGATCCAACAAGTGGTAAACCATGGTAAACCCAAGAAACCATCCCATGAAAACCAACCATGACTGGGGTCATTCTACATAATCCCATTCCTAGTTTTTTTCAGGTATACCTAATTCCACAAACCGATTTTTTCCGGAATTATATAAGATTGGTGACATTTTTCATGACATTTTAAACCATGAATATTGGGTAAACATAAATTGTAAATGGTCAAAAAATATGGTATACTATGGGTAAACCATTGGATGGTCACTTCAATGGCCATTTCAGGAACCTAAATTGGAGGTACCTATCATATATAAGGCCTATGTAAGGGCTATGTAAGGGGATATACCCCCCAAAAATTGCCTTATATGGTACAGTACCTCTATTTTAGGATCCTGGAATTCCCATTGATCACTGGGATGGTTTATGACATTGGGTTTACCACATTATAACCATTTATGACCCCCACTTGGGATGATTCCTAGTGCAATACTAAGCCCCTACTTCCCTAAGTATCAACCATTTGGAGGCCATCAACATTAAATAAACTCATCCCAAGTAGGGGTATGTTCATGTTCATAAACCACAAATTGCGGAATTTTGAGGATGGTTTTTCTTTTCATTATCTGGGTTGGTGGTTTGGAACATGTTGGATTATGACTTTCCAATATATTGAGAATTTCATGATCCCATCTGACGTTCATATTTTTCAGAGGGGTTGAAACCATTCTTTTAATTATGGATCCCCCCATCTTTTATCGTTCATCGTTCATTGATGGGCTCCTGGACTTACGAGGAATGACACTTATTGTGGTACACCCTGGTAAACAAACATAGCGACGTGGAAAATCACCATTTTCTCACTAGCAAACTGTCAAATTATCAGAGGGTACCAATATTTGTGGAAAGTTTGTGAGTCCCAGCATTCATTCTTCCCCCTTTGTCCTCTCAGAACGGACATATTCACCTCAGCTCGCGATGTTTTCTGATTCGCAGGTGCTCAGTGGCCTGATGAAGCCATCAGAGAGCCAGATGAGTCAGAGGAAACTTCACATCAAGAACTTGCGACCAGTAACCTGCCTGAACTTTGGAAATGAGGATGATGGGAGCATCTGAAATTTATCCTGAAACAATATCTAGAACAACTTGAAAAGTTGGAAACAATTGATCCTGTTTTGGAAAATGGCAATCTGATTGGTGGTTTGGAACATTTGGATTATTTTTCCATTCAGTTGGGAATGTCATAATCCTGACTTTCACCCCATCATTTTTTCAGAGGGGTAGGGCTCAACCACCAACCAGATATATTATTCATTAGATCAGGTATTAATCACTAATAACCACTATTAACCACTATTAATCACTATTCACCATGGTTATTGCACCACCAACCAGGTATCGAAGTGAACTGTTTCTGGTTCTGGATCCAGTTGCGTTGCGGAAGCGAGTAACCGTTATGGAGATCTGGAGGCAGTTCAGAACTACAAAAAAGAGGTAGGAATGAGGAGTTTGTGCCTACAATGTGAGGCCCCCTAGATAGCTAAGTTGGTTTATAACTCCAATAACTATGGTTTATGATACTTATAACTATAGTTACTGGGGCTTATAAACCAACTTATAACTGGGGGCCTCACATTGTACAAATATGATATAGTAAGAATGAGGATAGTACCAACTGGAGACAGAAAGAGGTAAGAACATGTAAGAACTACAAATATTAAATATGCATGCTGCATAAAGAATCATAGATATCCTCGATCAAACATGGCTGGAAACTTTTTATGAACTCAATGGAGGTTCCCAGCTGGGAAAATCCTCGAACTATAGCTGGGGGCCGATTGACAATGCCCCATTTGAAGGGGAAAAAAGGCCCGGTTGTACCTTGGAATGCCCCGGGCTGTGTACTTCAACTGGGTATTGGGTATTTAAGATTCAGGGGACCAGATGTTTTAGTCTATTGTAGTATTAACCATCTGATTGTTGGATATTATTGAAGGTTCCCAAATTGGACCCATACCCTATGTCAAAAAGAACATATTCAGGAGGTGATTCCCTGCAGAAACCTTTCATAGAGTAGTGGTACCTTAAATTTTTGTTCATGTTGCGATTGCCAAACGTTCTTTGCAAACCTCGGGTAGTTTATGGTAGTTTAATGCTCTAATCTCCTGCCATAAATCATACAATACTTCAATGGCCATTTCAGGAACCTAAATTGGAGGTACCTACCATATATAAGGCCTAATTATATAAGGCCTAAATTTCAGGGAATATCCCCAGAAAATATGGCCAAACATATGGTACTAACATACCTCCATTTTAGGATCCGGATATTCCCATTGAATACTGTATCCAGCAAAATCATGAAGGGCATCTCAGATTTCTCGGAGGTGCATCCCAGTTAGAAATGGTTAGTCACCATAGTATAATCCAGTTATACATGGAATATCCTCAGTTGTTTATTGCTCAAATGGGTTATAAATGGGTTATAAATGGGTTATAAGTGGGTTCTAAATGGGTTGTAAATGGGTCATACAGTTATACATGGTGATATATATGGTGATATACATGGGTTTATGGAATATCCTCAAATGGGTTATAAACCACTTTGGTTATTGGTGTGGTCTCTGGGACCGCTGGTTTTTTCGAGCCGTTTTCCAAGCCTGCCACGTTTTCAAAGGTTGTCAGGGACGACGACTTACGCAGCATCTTCAGGCTGGAGAAGTAAGACATTTGGGTCAGGTGCTGGACTTATCTGATATGGATGAATGGATACATGGTATAACATGGTATAACAACCATCTAATATTGGGGATTTTTAATGGGATTTTAATGGGATTTTTATGGGCTTAATGTGGTTAAAACAATACCATAAACCATAAACCACCCATTTGGGAATGGTAAACATACCACCTATAAAAATGCTGAAATTGGGGATGGTTTATTATTGTTTTACCAACTTTAATGGACATATCTGATATGGATTGATATGGATACAATGGGAGTATGATGGATATGTGTATGTAGGGATGATATGGAGATAATTGGGGATATAATTAATGAGATTGAATGGGATTTACTGTAGTAGGACAACGCATATATAAAATGTAACCAGCCATATGAAAGAATCTGGGTGAATTATAACGACTCACTGCAATGTCACTGGAATGATAGTTGATATCTTGGTTAAACATATCCCACAATGGCTGAACCAATCGCAGGTTGGTTTGGGGATGTTTGGGGATGTGACTATCCAATCATGACCGTCCTTTTGTCATCTGCGTAGGTACCCACCCGGTCACCCCGCAATCCCATTTCAGGGTGATGAGTTGAGCCTGAGAATCTCTGTTGATGTCCGCATGGAATCTAACGTGTTGAAGGATTTTACAGTAAATCTAACGAGAAACCTCAAGTTATCAAGGATGGTCATTTTTTTTACCTCTGGTACTACTCCATCTCTCCCCAAACCTCGAAAACTGGGCAGTTCGACAGTTTGCTGAAACAAAACAGGCCGTTTGGCGACTTCGAGGATTTCTTGATGGGCAGTGGCGAGTGTTGGATCACCTACAAGAATCACAACGACGCTCAGGTCTCCGTCAGCTGGGAAGATATGCAATGTGGTGCCCCAGTTCGTGAACGCTAAGTTGGTGCATTTATAACTCCCATTTCACTATGGTTTATGGTAGATATATCGAACTAGTAAGTGGGCTTATAAACAATTTATAGCTGGGGGGCACCAACCAGTGATGGCTTTTTTGAAAATTGGGTGCGGACGCAAATCAAGTGTTTTTTTTTTTAAAATCACGTTTTCAGTGGTACCCTCTGGTTATGACATTCACAGTTCGCCATGGAAAGATCCACCCATTTTTAATAGGTAAACCATCTATTGGTTATTTAAGATAGCCATGGAAAATCACCATTTTTAATAGGTACTGTAAACCATCTATTTCTATGGGCCATCTATACCATGGCAAACTGTTAGTCATAACCAGAGGGTACATAGATGGCAATTTGAGGGTGTGTCCTATTTTCAGACACACCCGTATCATCGAATGCCCGAAACACAAGTCAATCACTGGATGCACTCTGATAAATTAGCGTGATTGGAGCAGATCCATAAATGTGTTTGTCTAAAAATCGGGAATCCTTGAAACCATTGGTTAATCATTGTTTCCCCCAATATTAATTAATGTAGCCATTGTTGGTGTATACCTTATTTTCAGTCACATCCATATAATCTACTTCCGTGTTTTTTTCCCAGGCAGCCAGGTTAGACTATTCAATCTAGGCAAAAATGCTCTAATGATCCCAACTGATTACAAATTAATAATGAATGTAAAGACATGCCATGGTTATTCATGTTCTCATTCTTATTGATCACTATTGAATTGGTGTTCTTATTATCACCTTTTATCACTACTGAGACTAGAATGATAAGTACTATTTTATTTTTATTTTACATATACTATTTATATATATAATATATATATGTATATATATATATATTATATATATATGTATTATATATATATATATGTCGAGGTTTCCTAAGTCATAGGGCTACCCCAATGGTCATCCATTTTTTTGGGATTTTCCATGAAATAAAGCCTCCAGCGGTTTCCCGCGCAGGATGCCATGACCTCCATGCAGGGCTTCCAATTAGTGGGCCAGGAGTCGCCGTGGGACTCGATACGGTGGGACTCGGGATACGTTTTTGGACTCATTGGTTAATAGGTGGATAATCCATGGTTAATATATGGATAATATATGGTTATATAATGGTTAATAGTTACCCGGCCTGGTAAACGTTTACAAAAAACTATTGAACATGACCATAGAAATATAGTGGATTTTCCCAGCTGGAAAATGGGTGGATCTTTCCATAGTTATGTAAACGTTTACCAGAGGGTAATGTCAACCCTGGATTTTGCTAAACCATGGTTTATTCATGGGGGTACTCCTCCAAGAGTCATAATCCAATACCTAAATGCTATCCCCCCAATTAAACAACCTAAGGGTTTATTAATCCAAGGTTGACATTAATTAGATAAGTTGGTGAACATAACTACATAACTAGCTTACCTACGGTTTATGATTGATACATCTATAGTTGGGTGGGTTTAGAAACCAACTTATAATTGGGCGACCACTTTGTATGAGTCGGGTTATTCCATGTTATTCTCCCACCAACAGTTGAACATGATTGTTCGATGATTTTGGTATATCAAACTATCCAAGTTTTTCCTTGGGCGTTGACTTGTTGACTGCTGAATGGTAGCTTCATGGGTTTGTTCTTGAGTCACCCGCAGATTTCATCCACCTTCCAGGTTTGTTTGGTGTTTTTTCAAAGTCCCCCAAGTTACATCTCTGGTTCCAGTGACCCATTTCTGCTGAATTGGGTGATAAACTTACTGGTGCTTGGCTTAGCAGGGAATTTTCGGGAATGATCCCAGTCATCACTAGTAATAATCATCCCAGCAACCCCCAGTCCCATCCATTCCCTACGTTTAGCACCAGTAGGTAGAATCTCGATGATCTCCCAACTCCCGAGCCACCAACATTGTGATGATCCTGGTGATGTCTGGCAGCCAGTGGGTTGAAAAGAAACCACACATAGGTTCTTGTGAGGCTATGTACAATCAATTATATATAATACGAGATCACAGGTGCTATACATATATACATAAAGTATCATTATATATAATTTATTTTATACTATCTTCCACAGATTTTATCTGATTGGTGGTTTGGAACATTTTGTTCCATTCAGTTGGGAAGAATAATCCCAACTTACTTTCATATTTTTCAGAGGGGTAGGTCAACCACCAACCAGATAAAGAATCAGAGATATCCTCGATCAAACATGGCTGGAAACTCCCTGAACTCAGTGGAGGTTTCCACGGAAAATCCTCGAACTATAGCTGGGCTATCGTTCCAAAAGTGACCCGCAGGAGCTGAGCATCACCATGCTCTCCGTGGCCAAAGCCGATGGCACCGCCGCGGCCGACGCCAAGGGCGACGCCAAGTTGGACAAAGCTAAGCCGTGGCTGGCCGTTGGAATTGGCCATGGGTTTTCTGAAGGACTTTATAACACTAAGATCCCATTCAAATCCCATGAAACTCCCATGAAAATCAGGGATTTTATTGGGATGTTCATGGGATTTTCATGGATTTTTGTGGGATATAACACTAAGATACACTAAGCCATTGAAAAACAAGGATTTTATAACACTAAGATGTCGGTAAAACAATGCCATAAACCATCCTCCAAATCACCATGTTTATAAGTGGATATGTTTACCATTCCCAAATGGGCGGTTTATTATTGTTTCACCCATATTAAGCCAATTAAGATCCAATCAAAATCCCCAATATAAGAATGGTTGTTATAATATGTTATAACCCAAGAATATGTGTGGTATATAACAACCTAGTTTTTTAGGTTCGTCCAAAAATGGGTGATTTGGATTGATTTGGCACGATTACTGTACCCTCTGGTAATTTAACGTAGCTATGGAAAATCACCATTTTCAATGGGAAAATCCACTATAAATGGTCATTTTCAATAGCTATGTTAAATTACCAGAGGGTATGTCATTTTCCAACAACTGTTTTTTTTTTTTTCTCTTGTCTTGTTGAAGGTCTACTTGGATGTGCACTATCTCGCTTGGTCAGGGGTGAATAACTTATCACCATAACAAAGCCAGTTAATGAGGTAAACCGTAAACCCAAGAATAAACTATCTCAATTGGATTGGAGTTTGTGAAATTGGGTATACCGAAAAAAACCCTGCTTGTAGCAAGTTTTTTTGAAAAAAAAACGATCATGGATGGTCACCGGGATGGTTTATGGCCTTAGGTTTACCACATTTTACTTCGGTTTTGATTCAGTTACCAACTGCTTGGGCATGCATCCCACTTAGCAAATGGGTTATACCGTTATACCCGCAGGTATATTTATATATATATGAAACATCCCCAGTTGTATATGTGGTATATATATATATATATATATATGGGTAGTTATAAGCCACTTACCAACTGGGATGCACATCTAGGATGTTCATCCAGATGCCCACAGGCTGGATTTGGCCAAAGACAGCGATTTTGGCGCTACGGGTTCAGGTTTGGAACCGGCTGAAGGGTTAAGGCGGTTAAGGCGGTTGAGGCGGTTGAGGCGGTTGAGGACTGGAAAACCCTCATTGTTTGATATTTTGTGAGCCATGAGTGAAGCGATTTAGAATGTTTATATAGTATCCTGCCAAAACTTGTATTTTTTTGCAGGGTAAATAAGGTTAGCCATGAAAGATGCAATCAGAAAGGAAAACAAACTGCACTCAACAAGATTGCGTCCCTAAACTTGCAGATTCATGCCTAAACTGCCATCTTCAGGGTTCTGTTTTCAGTTTAAAGCCTGTTTCAAACTTAGGACCCACCAACCAAAGAGGTCCAGCAGCTGTGCCACAGGCCCGTCCAACGTCCACAACCGCATTGAGGTCATGAAGAAGCTCTTGCAGGTTCCGAACTGCTTGGAATAGCCGAGATGTTAGCTGTAAGCTAGTTGATCAAAGGGGATCCCCGTAATCGCCCGTAATGGATAATGAATGATCATGATAATCCCCAAAATATCGGTTAGTAATGGTTAGTATATACAATCATCTCAATTCACTGATTTGGTGAACCCAATAGCTACGTACATCAATTTTTTTCGCATGCTTTTTGATCCCGCCCAAGCGGCAAAAGTATGTACACGGGATGCGGTTTATAGTGGGTTTACCACAGTACTCTTTTTAGACCGATTCAAATTGATCTAGACCTCACTTACAACCGATAGCCTAGGTGATGGTAGTTACCCCACTTATAGGCCAGGGTGTGCAACTCCATTGCACACCAGCTAGGATCGTGGGACGAAAGGATGCTTCCTCGAAGAAAAAACCGCAGGATGGATTGGTGTAGGATGGAATAATGGAATATTTGATCCTCCAAAATTGGTTTAGTTTCCTGTATCATTGATTGAATACCACATTTCAAGCGCTTCCTTTGGTGTTGTTTGCGGCTGTGTCGTCAAGCTCCTGTTTGAAGTGGATGCTTGGACTGTAACGCAAATTATTTCTCATTCATGTCTGTCATTTTGGAAATTTGTATGAAGCCTTATGAATGGTTGGATACTAGCTTAATTTACACACTATGTCACGGACATATCCAATATCCCACCAAGAAACATAAGTCACTTTTTGTTGGATCTTGATTATTCTTGAATTATAGGGAATTTCCATGAATTTCCCATTCCTATTTGCTGAGTTAGCCATGTCACCTTCCCACCTGTAGGCCCACAGTGGCTCCGGCGTCCCCACCGTGGTGGGCCTCGTGGCCCCCTCCAACGGCGGCGCGGCGCCGGCGTCGGCGCCCGCGGCATCCAACGCGCCAGAGCTGCCGCCGGCGCCGAAGCCTGGGACGTCCACCAGCTGCACGCTGCTGCTGCAGAACATGTTCCAACCTACCAAGGAGCGAAGATGGGGGAATGGAATGGTGATCTTAATTGGATTTAGTGGAACTTAATGGGTAAATCAACTATAAATTGCCATTTTCCATAGTTCATGTTAGTTTACCAGAGGGTAACAATTCCATTCCCAGATGCTCCATGCTGGAATATTTACCAAGATTTGCCCCAAAATTACCCAAATGTAGGTAAATATTCCATACATGGAGCATCTGGGATTGGAATTGTTACTCGTACCCTCTGGTAAACTAACATGAACTATGGAAAATCACTATTTTTAATGGGTAAATCAACTATATATTGCAGTTTTCAATAGCTATGTTAACCAGAGGGTAATTGTGAAGTTTCGGACTAGGAACTTGGGCATTTCCCAGCCACGTTTGATTACCAGAGGATATCAGAGGCTTCTCATGGGACAACAATAACCTGGTTGGGGGTTTCAAATCTTTATTGCTTTTCAACTATAGAAAAGGAATGATTGGTTGAGATGACAAGATGATATTCTTGTGGTTAAAACCACCCTGGTGCATTTCTCCGTTTGTCTGGAAGTTGTGGATTAGGAACTTGTTTTTCTTCAGTGTTTAAGCATCAACCTACCAGCCAGGCTGGGGGATTACTCTCCGGTAATCTGACATAGCTATGAAACACGCCATTTTAGTGAGCAATTTTGGGGCTATTAAACCACTTGAGTATGGGGTCACCATTGGCTTCCGCAAATATGGGATACTACCGGGAGTGACCAACGTGTGTGGTCCATTTGGCCACTTCAGTTGGCCACTTCAGATCCATATCGCCAAACAACCAACAACACTTGGTGGCTCATCCCACTTAGTAAGTGGGTTATAACCCCAGTGATTGAAGTGGATTAACCCTACAAACATCCCATTTATAACTGGGGTTATAACCCACTTACGAGCCGTGGGATGAGCCACCAAGCAACCAACGCATCATTGGCGTTTTTTCCCCTTTTTTTCGTGCCAGGTGGACCTGACAAAAGATCCGAAGTTCTACGATGCGATTCGCGAGGACCTTTGGAACGATCGTTTTTTTTTTGATGGGGGGGAACTCAGTGGGTTGGCGATGGCAAGCGGCAAGTGGAATGACCCTTGTGTAGTGTATTATCATTATGACATAACACACGTTATGTGATATTGTTGAAGTTATTACATTACTATTTTACATCATACTATAGATATTATTAGATTATTATTAAATATTACAATAGATTACCAGACAAGATCATGATATCACTAATATTATCATCACTATGATATAATATCACTATTCATATACTATTATTAGATCATTTTGCAGAGTTGAAGTGATGTGAGTCCGTAGTTGGCACAGACTGAGGCTAAAGTTGTGGTGGGGTCCCAGGAGCGAAGATCCACCCAAAACAGCGCAGTTTTGAGGTTGGTGTGTTATCCATATTAGATGTAGTATATATATATATATATTGTCACATAGTTAGCAGATATGTCTATACATATGGAGTATATATGTATATATGTATATCTATAGTTATACATATTATATTGTCCGAAAATACACCATGTTGGGTGGTTGCTTAAGCAACAACGTCTTGCTTCAAAACGTCAGGACACCCACGACGAGTGCGCCAAACATGGCAAGGTGGTGCATGTCACTGTGGACCCACGTGGAACTGCAGGAGCGCCGCGGAGCGCCTGGAAGGTGTTGGGACGAATGTGAGGTTTTAACAATCATTGGGGATAAATATATATATATATATATACATATATAATTATACATGTAGGTAATGTAATATTGTCTATAATTTGATATAAACCAATGTGGGTAAAACAATGCCATGAACCATCCCCCAGTCATCACCATTTTTATAGGTGGTATAAAATGTCTAAACCATTCGCAAATGGGTGGTTTATTATTGTTGTTTAACATTCATGTGTAATATTATATGGGATATTGGGTTTATTACATTAAATTACATATATATATATAATATCAATCCGACCCCCATGTACTAGTCGGAGATATATTGGGATATGTAATGGAATATTAATATATCTATATAGGGTATTTGGGGTCCAATATGGGGATCTAGTTGATATGAGTTAATATCCCCTAATATGTTTATTGGTTTATGTCTATATTTGGGATTTTAACAACACTGGGGATATTATCGAAGAATAGTGGAGATTTAACTATGACATATATGTGATATTGGGTTCATTAGCTTGATATCTTTAGCCTCCCGTAAACTAACATAGCTATTGAACAATGGCCCATTTATAGTTAATTTACCTATTAAAAGTTGTGATTTTGCATAGTTGTGCTAGTTTACTAGAGGGTATGCAATAAAATATGGGATATGATATTGGGTTAATGGGACACAATAGTTGCGCTTGTTGATTGGTTAATATAGGTGGCTATACGAAGTGGCTTATTGGGGGACTATGAACCAACCTCCCCATTTGCGAACCAGTGTAGTGGGCCGGGAAGAATGTGGTATTTTTTGCATGGCTTGCCGCCCTTCAACAGGGTTGCTCCAAGCAATAATCGATTAATGAGAGCCAAAAGGCAGGAAACTTTGTCATTTTGCCTCTCTATCTACCAATTTTACCCCCCTTGTTTCTGGGGTGTTGGGAGCAACCCTGAGATTATATGTGATTATATATGACTGTCTAGTGTTTGGCAGGCCTGGGTGGACAGTGGTCATTCCTTGGTGGTTGGTTTAATAAGGTAAAACCAATGCCAATTTTGGCTCAAGTAAATATTGACCCAAAATGGCTCAAGTATATATATATACACTCTTAAAATACCCGCAGAAACTCGTTGCCATCAAATCCAAACTTTCAGTCCTCCAGGACTCATCTACGTCCTCTACGAGACGCCCCAGCAGCGACTGGCTGGAGAGTTGGCTCTCAATGGAGCCTGGTTTGAGGGGAAGAAGATCACTGCTACAGGCGTGAGATTGGGATTTTGGGGACCTGAAAAATCGGGGATTCATCATCTATAATGGGAATAATCATCATCTATAATTGGTGTATAATGGGGATTTACCAATCAATGAAAATATGGCTTTACTCACCAAAACAATGGGAATTTCTGGGGGAATATCAAGTCCAATTCATCCCCCCCAAATAGCGATCTATTTTGGATACAAAAAAAAATGATGACAAGCCCGTGGATTTAGGGCTGCAGCTGCACTATTTTCAGACAAAACCATTTGGATTTGGCTTTTTCACAAAGTTCCTGCGGCCCCAAAGTTTGCCATTTATGGTACCAATGGTACCCCATGACCTCAGAGAACAGAAATGTACGAATTAAACCCCACCCGCCAAGACTTCTTTTTGCGGGGTATCTTTCAGAGAAAAGCCATAGATTGTCCCCAGTTTTGTTGATCGTACATGATTGTACCATATAGCCACCATTGTAGCTGCATTTTCCTTGGTCAACCCTTGTTTGCTAGCTTCACTATGGTCAATGGATGTCAATGGCCATGCAACAGGATCCGATTCATTGGAGGTACCTACCATATATAAGGCATATTTTTCAGGCCTATGTAAGGGAATATCCCCAGAAAATATGGCCAAACATATGGTACTAACGTACCTCCATTTGAGGATCCTGAAATTCCCATTGATATGGTTCAAGTTTTTGTTGCCACACAGTAGAAACAAACCAGACGAATCAGCTACGGAATCGGTGCATATAGGTAAATTTTCCCGCCATGGTCAACACTTATGGTTCATAACACTGATTTGTGTGCAAATATGGGTTTACTAACCAAAACAATGGATAATTTTGGGGGGAATGTCAAGTCCAATTCATCCCAGTTTGAAGTTATAATCCGATTGTAGATTAAGATCAATGGGAATTCCAGGATCCTAAATTGGAGGTACGTTAGTACCATATGTTTGGCCATATTTTCTGGGGATATTCCCTTACATAGGCCTGAAAAATAGGCCTTATATATGGTAGGTACCTCCAATTTAGGATCCTGGAATGGCCATTGAAACAAGGCAGTCCCACTTAATCTACAATCGGATTATAACTTCAAACTGAGATGAATTGGACTTGATATTCCCCCAAAAATTCTCCATTGTTTTGGTTAGTAAAGCCATATTTTCACATTATACACCAATTATAGATGATGATTATTCCCATTACCCACAATCATAGAAGATTATCTATAAATTATCCCAATTATTCCCATTATACTATGATTCCCAATACCTATGCCAATTATTATATTCCATAATCATCTATAAATTATCCCAATCATTATAATATTCCCATTATTTCCTCATAATTCCCATTATTCCCAATATTATTCCCAATATTATTCCCATGATTATCTATAAATTATCTATTAGTCCTTTACCACTCACGCTTCGGATCAGCTGATCAGCGTCCAGGCATCGATGACTCCATCTGGCAAGACTTGGCTTCGCAGGCCGCGCCAGCCGCGCCAGCCGCGCCAGCTCCGGAAACTCCAGCCACGTGACAAGGAGCACGGCACGTGCGGAAAAAGTCAGGGTGAAGGCTGCTGCAAGGTGTTGCAAAATGCTGGGTTTAAGCTTTAACCAAGATGATTTTCCAGTTGCCAACTATAATTGTGCACATCCAGATGGGGTTATCATGGTTTATCTGAAATGGGGGAATCATGGGGAAGCCATTTTTTTCCATGGGTTTATCATCTTAATGGTCCCTATGAAGATTGCCATGTATTGCCACATATGAGTATGGGTCAATAGCTATAGATACCATTTTTAGTGGGATGAACATCCATAAATCCCAGCTATTTTGGGGTTCACTAGGTACCAGGGTTTTGACCCATCCCCATATTGCACATGGCCATAAATTGGACAATTCCCTCATTTTTGGACACACCCAAATCCCATGTTTTTTCACTCAAAACTCCATGATTTGAGTCCTCGAACCTGCTGTTTTTGGTAGGGCTAAATCCCACTGGTAAATGATGGATGAAAAGGGCTAGATCCTATAATATATATATAACTATAATTATAAATATATGATTATGTATATATATAATATATAACTATAAATATATGATTATGTATATATATATATAATATAACTATAAATATATGATTATGTATATATATATATTATATTATATATATAATTATATGTAAAAATATCCACCATTTTTTTTGTGCTAAATCCCAAATGATTCATGATGAAGTCCCCAATTTTTTTGGGTTCCAAGGTTCAGCTGAAGCGTGCCAGGTTCACCAGGCTCCCGTCGCGAAGGCCGCCGATTTCAGGGATTGCTATCTGGGCATCCCTCGATTTCTTTGTTGTCAATAAATCTATCTCTCTATATATAATATAATATAATATAATATAATATAATATAATATTATAATGATATAGTATAATGTAATATAATATAATATTATATTATATAATATTATATTATATTGTAATGTATTATATTATATTATATCTCAAGTTCTATTTTGGTGGTACATCACTGTTGCAAAGTGGCTCAGATATTATCTCGTTGCTTGGTCGTGCGCAACTTCATTTGTAGTGCAAGGTCGAAAGACGTGACAAAACGTACTACAGTCATAGGTGGGACACTCGTAGTAGAACCCTATATGATAGAGGTTTGCCCACAAAATATCGGGTAATGTCAACCCCGGATTAATAAACCATGGTTTGTTAATTAGAGGGCTATTCCCCCAATTGTCATGATTTGAAACTTTTTTATGGTACCTTCCCAATTGAACAGCCGTTTGGGGTTTATTAATCCAGGGTTGACACTATACCCCAACCAATGATCTTCCCCCTACGGGAGAATGTTGCCATCCCCATATCCCTCGTCCGCTCAGGGGGCGAACTGGGTCCCGCTCTTCAGGGTTCGGTGCTGGCGGCCTTGCAAGGCTTGGGAACCTGGATGTGAGTAGAATCTAAGGCGCTGGTTTCAGGCAGATATAATTTATCTGGGTAAATTATAACGACCTCACTACGACCTCACTGGAAATCATAGTTAGTACGGGGAATCATCCCCAAATGGCCTTAATTCAGGTTAGTGAAATATTATAATTTGCCCAGATTTATATAATGGGTAGCTAAATACAACTGGCTATGGTAGGGGCTTCAAATATATGACTTTATGTTCAAGCACAGTTGGGATGATCCCCACTTCACTTTTTTTAAAGGGTGTTTGAAACCACCAATCAGAAAGATCATTGATATCATGTAGGTGTTCAGAAGATGAAACCAGGGGCTCACAGAATTTCGGTAGTTGTTGGCATCACATCATCCATCATCCAATTTTGCGATGCGCTTATATTTAACCCAGAAGTACTGTCCATGTCATGGGATAACTTTTCAGGCAGGGAATTCTTGTGACGCAGCCAAGAAGTTTGGATTTGTGTTCCAAACTTCCTGTTGGCTATGTCCACACTTGTTTGTTGTTACAATTTCCAGTTCTCCTTTGTTGTTATTTAACGGTTATTCTGTTGCTGAAATCAACTTTCTATTCTTTGACTCTTGGCTTCCGATTTTTGTTTATAACATGTTATGTTGTTGAAATATATTGAAATATCCACTGTTTATTACTTCCAGTCCCGTGACTATTCTTTCTGTCGCCTATTAAAGAAACAACACGAACCTGTTCAAAAAATCAGTTTCGTGCGTACCAATTAAGTCTTAAGTTTTGTAATGTCATTCCATGAAAAGGAACCAGCCACTTTCTAGATCTTCTTAATCCATTATACAATTCAGTTTTATGAACATTTACTGGTTGGTGGTTTGGAACATTTGGATTATTTTTCCATTCAGTTGGGAATAATATATCATCCCAACTGACGAACTCCATCATTTTTCAGAGGGGTAGGTATACCACCAACCAGATATGATTTGGTACCAGTTTTATAGTTTTATGATGTTTTATGAACATTTGGTACCCAACTAACTATAAAACTGGATTGTATAAAACACCATTTAAAACTATACAATCCCAAGCACCATTTTCTAACAGCTTTCTCCACAGCCCAGAGTAAACCGTTTTTCACCAAGGTCCGAGTCCAGATCGGGACGCCTCCAACTTGGGCCAAGCGTTGGCGAGGCTTTCAGCGGGAAGATTTACAGGAAACACCAAGAAAAACCACCCAAAATTGATGGTCTATAAAAAGCATGGTATTTTCTGTAGATTGATTAGATTGTAGTTATTTTTTTCCCTGGCCACTTGTTGTTTTATTTTTAGTTTAGTTCGCCAAATGTTGAACTTCCATTGGACCGTTCCAGTGAAGAGCTTTTAGATTGCTGGAAGTGCTGTCATATTTCTGTGACATACCAGAAACCATGTTTGGCTTAGAGATGGACTTGATCGAGGCAAACTTCATCATGATTCCAGTCGAGAAGGCATAACTTGCATGGCATGATCAACAAACAAGTCCAAACATTTCGTGTTTTGTCACCATTCTTATTGGTGTCTTTTTGTGCATAGGTTGCATCTCCCTGATTTTTGACCAGCCCACTTTTTGCACTGTGCCATGGCCCCAATGACTTGCATTCAAGTCCCGCAGAGGGGGACATTCACGTGCAACAGTAGCACAGCAGAGGAGGCCGTGAAGTATTTGCGGCAAGTTTTGGACGAGCCCTGCCATGGGAACATGCTGTTGTCTTGCGGTCCACAGAAGCTGGAACCGGGGCAGCTGCTGCATGAATTTAATCGTGACCTCATGTGTACAAACTATTCATCCTTAAGTTCTGGACCTCCAATTCGTATCGCACAAACACACCTGCGTGGAATCACCATCGAACAGCTTTCATCTTTGCTTGCTTTTGTTAACAAAAGGGTTTCCACTTGGTGTGAGAACCATTCTGGGTCGCCGGAGTACGGGCAACCTTTGTCTTTCGAGACCTTTAACTTTTATCATTTACATTGCTGGGTCATTGACCCAGCCACGGCTCATCCCCATGCCTGCAGCTACGTCGAGTTAGTTGCAACAGCAGCGAAACGCCAACGACACTTGTGGTTTGTCTCCTACGTTTTCGTTGATCCGATCCACAAGTTCATGGGCTGCCTGGTGCACCACGCGTCTTTGCGCCAGTTGCATGGTCAGTTGCCTTGTGACGCAACTTATTGGATTGCCTCTTGTGCCAACAATCTGCATCGGAGGGAGTTTGATTTTGACGGCAATCCCCGCAAGATGCCCTTCTCCCGTGCACTGAAGCTGTCTGGCGGGCTTTTGCTGATCTTGGATGAAAGTTGCGCAGTGTTGACCAGGATCTGGAATTGCTTTGAAGTGTCCTTGGCAATGGAGGAGCGGGACAAATGGAGGTGGGGGAAGCCCTTTCTACTGGATGTGGCCGCCGTGGAGTACGATGACCAAGCACATCTCATCACAGATGGCCTGGTCCCTGCTGAGCAGCGCATGGAACGGATGATGGGTCTTTTGGCCAAAGGCCAGCGGGAGGCCGGGTTCCCAATCCGGATTTTGGATCAAGCCATGCAGATGGACGTTGCCTCTGCACACGCAAGTGCGGCTAAAGACAAGACAAAACTTCTCAACAGCCTTCGTCTTCCATGGGCAAAGACCAGGATGCTTCTTCAAGATGCTCCAGACTCAGATCCAAGTTATGAAGCAGTCAGTCGCGCCATGCGCGAAAAAATGGGCGCAGCCAATTTGCTCTCCTCAATGGCGAGAGACTTTCGTACGGAACACTATGCAGGACTAAACACAGATCCACAGATCTCAGCGCCACTCTATGGCGGTCTACCGAGGCATGAAGTGAGCAGGATCATCAACAACATGGAACGAGACCTTTGGAATCAACTGGAAGACACCGTGCAAAAGTTCTTCCCTAAGCTTGCTGGCGCTGGATGGACCCAGTCTGACGTTGAGCAAAAGGCAAAGGAGATCCGCGCTAAAAATAGCTATAGCGCAGGAGTCAGCATGGCCTACTTGCTTCAAGATTTTGTGGACTTAGCCCAACAGAAGTCACAAAGAGTAGATCCAACCTTTCTCCAATTGAAAGAATGTTTTTGGTTGGGTGAGGATAAAATCGGCCAAGACCTGTTTTGCCCAAGGGATGGAAAGTTAGGCTGTGCTTTGGTGGATTTGCTTCCCCCACAAGATCGAAAAAGGCAAAACTACTTCATGTCCTGGAGTTGGCAGTACTCACTGCGACAACTAACCAGTGCATTGCAGATCTGGCAAGCACAGGAAAGACGTGAAGATATTTTCTTCTACATGTGTTTTTTTGTGAACAATCAATTTCGTCTCATTGTCGACGGAACTCCGGCTGGTAGTGACAACTTAGAGGAGGTCTTTGAAGAGAACCTTCAACGTTGTGGCAGGATTCTAGCCGTTTTGGACACATGGGACCAGCCCAGATACCTGCGACGAGTTTGGACCATCTATGAACAGTACTTTGCCTGTTCCAAGAGAATCCCCGTGACATTCGTGATGCCTCAAGAAGCAAGCGCATCCTTGTCACAACAGATTTCTCTGGGAGATACAGGCATTACCGAGGTAATCCGGTCTCTCTCTGAGGTCAACGTGGCCAATGCGCAGGCATATGATCCAAGGGATGAGAGGAAGGTCAAAGACACCATCCAAAAGACAGTTGGTTTTTCGGTGGTGAACCGGCATGTCAAAAGCGCCATGGTTCAATGGATCACCGGGGTTGTGAAAGAGAAATTTGAGAGACTAGTCCAGGAAGCAGGTGACTGCGAGGACACCGAGGACACCGAGGACACCGAGGACACATTTTTTGTCTAGAGAGTTTAGAAGGCTAGCACAAGTCTAGCGCCAGATTCTGCGGAAAAGATTTCTCGGTGATAGTGTTGTTTGTGTCTTGATTGCATGTTCAACGGCTATCCGTGGTTGCATGAGAACATATGAGAACCCAAGTACCAGCCACTCTCTGGCGGCATTCCTTTTATTTTGCAGCACCCAGCCCCTTGAAATTGTTGTTTTGATACGTTTCCATAGCAAAAATCATGGTAAACCATAGGATTTTGGGATATATTTGTTGGACAAATCCATTTGGGTTCTCATCACATACATATAGATTTTATATGATTTTATCCGAGACAAACAATGGATGTGGCTTTGCCCTAAAAAAGGGGATGCCCGTGGATCTCTGCAATTTATGGTAATTATTCTGGGAAAAGGTGATAGACCATGGGACTTTGGAGTACCCTATTCTCATCAAGTGAAAAATTGCAATCTTCCAGGTTTCCAGGGTTTCAACGTCCCTTGAATTGCATTGAATTGTTCTGGGTAAATTTGATCACGACCTCACTGCGAATAATCTAATGAAGGTGTACCCTATAGTAATATATGATATATATAAATATAAATGTAATATACATAAGTGGATTGTTGGTTATCGGACATTTTGGCCCCCTTTTTCCTGTGCCAAGCCTTTGAAAAAAACCCCGGAGAATCCCATGGGTTGGTCGTGTGAAGAGAGGAGACCAGGATTGCCCCAAGTTCACCGGTTACCATCTGGTTATGATATTCACAGTTCGCCATGGAAAATCACCATGCTATTAATAGGTAAACCATCTATTTCGATTAGGGCCATCTATACCATGGCGAACTGTTAAATAGCCAGAGGGTAGATAATCGTCATTGTTCCATATTTTTCCCAATCAATTCGCAATTTTGGGATATGTCCAATTTCATCCAATTTCCAGAAGTGCCAGGCTCCTGCGAGAGCTTCCAGCTTGGCATGTGCCAGGCTCAGATGACGTGGCGTGTTTATTTTGCTTGACCCCTTTGATGGGGCTGAAGATGGGGAAAATGTTGATTTAACCAACAAAAATCGTGTTTTACCGTGGTTTAACATGGTTTAAGAATCAATAATGTGGATTTAATATGATTTATGCAGTAATGAAGGTTGCTAATTTGGTGGGGCTGCAAATGTGGATACGAAATACCCCAACCCCCAACATGGCAGTTTTCACGAGAGGGTTAACCGACAACAAATGGTGATTTAACCAATCGAAATAGAATTTACTATATCTGGATGTAAGCTCTTTCATGGTAATTTTCAATCGGAATAGATGATAGGTCACCAGTAGACTTGGGTATACTTCATGTTTGATGTTTTTTGGACAAAACCCAAGTGAGTTTTGGTGAAACGTGTCAAATCTTAGCATCACTTACTTGGTCGGCCCTTTGACACTCTGGCGTGCTGGAACTTTCCCCGTTCCTACGATGTTTTGTCGTATATTTCCCTGTCAAATGGATCCCCCATTCCAAGCTGATTGTGCCGGAGGGTAAGACAAATATGTTCAGAAACTCCCGAAATATGTCATACTCCCATAGGCTTTTGAAATATGAAGGAAACTCCCAAAGACAAACATGTTTACAAGTATAGTAAAAGCCTATGGGTGTCCTTTCAAGTTTCCCAACATCCAACACATAATTTCAATTAGTTTCAGCCATACCAAGGAGTGGGCGGTGTCAGATGCAGCTCATGGGGGAGCAGATGATGAGGCGAACCAAGTGAAACATGCCGATCTTGTCTAGAAAACTCGGGTTTATTATGGTTTATTATGGTTTATTATGGTTTATTATGGTTTATTATGGTTTATTATGGTTTATTATGGTTTATTCAATTTCATTCAAGAGAATGTGAGGACAAAACAGACAAGCGTGGTGATTGAGCCAAAAAAGCAAGGCGACTCAATCAACAAACAGCTGGATTTTTGTCTCAATAGTCTGAGGATACATGAAACCATTTCAGGAGCACTCCAATTTAGGAAACTATATCACTACTTAGTTTGGTAGATGGTTTTAAACTTTTATGAGCTGGTATTTGTTCAGCTCCTACTCTGGACGAAACTACCAATCAGGAAATAACTTGGGTTCATTGATTCAACCATTGGTTGAAAAGTGCGGCTTCGTTACCCAATTTTTGGCCATCTCCTAGATAGTTTGTCTCAAAAGGGGGATACCACCAATTTCTTGCAATTTAATTGGCAACACCATGACCGCTGGATTTTTGGGTTTCAATTTTTGAGACAAGCCTATGTCACTATATACTCTATAATTTTCTTTGATAACTTAAAAAGTACTACACTATTTATTGTGACCAAATTTGTTTTAAATACTTTGTGCTATACTATTAGGTATCATATTGTTATTCTATATAAATATATATATATACTAATAATATATATATATATAATTATATATAATATTTTATTTAAATCTATATCATATATGTACTATTATATATGTACTATAATATATTGTCCTATTTTACTGTAAATATCTACCATAAATGCTGTGTGCCAGGACGCACCGCCTGAACCTTCCACCAAGCGCCGCCGTGGGAGAGCCCAGAAAAGCTGGAGACTTGTTTTTTTTTCGTGCTCGAAAACGTTAAGAAATCGGATGAATCAATGTGGAATAATAGGATTGGTCAATTCTAAATAGTACAGTGATGATATAATGTGGTATTGGTGATAATGTTATATTTTATAGTATTATACCAATATTCAATGGGGAAATTCAGGATCCTAAAATGGAGGTACTGTACCACATAAGACCATATTTTGTGGTGATATTCCCTGAAATTTAGGCCTAAGAAATAGGCCGTATATATGGTAGGTACCTCCAATTTAGGTTCCTGAAATGGCCATTGAATGAATCCCATGATTAAACACCACCTAAATATCCCTAAATGGTACCAATATGTCCCAAAACCATGGTTTCTAGAGAGAAAATACGGCTGTTCAATATTAGGAGGATGGGCCAAAATGCCGAAAAACATTGAAATCATGCTGGTAAAGCAATAGTAAACAATCTCAAAGTCACCATAAATGGTTGCTATAAACCATCAAAATACGGGTGGTTTATTATTGCTTTACTAGCATTAAAGACATGATTTAGAACAACAAACTCTCACCTGCGCTGAAGCTGACCAGCTGACGATGAGCTGATCAGAGGCCATCGATATGGCCGATTTCCGTTGGATACCCGGCCTGGTAAACTAACATAGCTATTGAACATGGCCATTTATGGTGGTGATTTTTCATAGTTATGTTAGTTTACCATACAAAAAACTATGGAAAGATCCACCATTTTATAGCTGGGTAAATCCACTATTTCGACTGGGCCATTTTCAATAGCAAACTGTTTGTTTACCAGAGGGTATGATCTATGAGAACTTGCTTTGCGCCAGTTGCTTTAGGTTTATGCATTGGGGAAGATGATGCCTAAAGATTGTCAACATTCAGACAGGAAAGCTCTGTTTGATGATTCCTTGGAAAACCAATCCAATATAGTTGCTTGATGTTGTTTGTTTCAGAACTTCGGAAAACTTTGGTAAGAAGTGGAAAAAAAACACATGGAGTGTTTAGCCACCCAACTCATCCCAACCCCCCTGGTCAAAATGTGGGTTTGTCTGAAAATAGGGTATATTCCCAATTATAGCCATTTAGTAGGGATAATGATCATTAACCATTGGGTTTAGGGGTACACTATTTTCAGACACACCCATGTGATTTCGGTAGCTCACTGGCAGTCCCAGGTAAATCTTCTGGCGCTGCGATGGGTGCTTCAATGACGCGTGTTCGACGGGCTCGTGCCGATCGGACAGGCCAGCGGAAACAACAGATCAGCTGCTTGGTGGCTCATCCCACGGCTCGTAAGTGGGTTATAACCCCAGTTATAAATGGGATAAGTAGGGTTAATCCACTTATAACTGGGGTTATAACCCACTTACGAGCCGTGGGATGAGCCACCAAGTATCCCACCTTATAATAGCCATTATAGACCATATACCTAATGGTTGGGTGATGTTCAATGGGGACATTTAGTGACCCATGAATTAATATCGTTATCCCTTGAAAGTCCCCGAAGTAACTGGAGGTTTAGTTTGCTGGGAACATCATCGAACTATGGAGGATTTTCCAGCCATGTTTGATAAAACCAGAATATATCGCTATTTCACGATGGGTTTAGTTTGCTATCTTGGGATATTACCCTCTGGTAAACTAACATAACGATGGAAAATCACTATTTTTAATGGGAAAATCAACTATAAATTACCATTTTCAATAGCTATGTTAAAATACCAGAGGGTAGATAACTACTTGAAAAACGATCACCATTCTCACGAACTGCATCTCTTTCAGAAAATTCACAGATCAAAGTCGCGGAGACTCAAGTGACAGCTGAGGTTTGTATCAGTTGGCCTTGCTGTTGCGCAACTGCTGCTCAGTCTCGCCCTCAGCGCTTGAGTTACGAAGAGTTCTTTTTTGGCACCTGTCGGCGGTTGAGGTTTGGAGCATTGAACTGACAAATCCAAAGCTGTTGGGCCTTGGGTATGAAAAAATACTGCAGTATGACTATGATACATCTATAGTCTATAGTCATCACGGAGAAGAATATGCACATATAACACATATATGTCAAAACATCCTCACTGAGAAAGGACCATAGTTCTTTCTGCTTCAGGACAAAAAAGGATACTGATTTGGATCCGAATTGGCCATTGGTGGGACGACCCATTTGAGGAGAACGTCACCATATTAATGAACCAACAGTAGCTGTATTCCAAATATAATATAACCTTATTTCAGGCGAATTCAGGATACTCATAATTGGTGAAATTATGCTAATTCTCCTTGTGAGTGCTAACTAAAAAACAATCCCCGACTCTCCCGACTAAAGAATTCTTCTTATTTTCACGTGGGTGGAACAATTACTCATTGGTGGCCTCACATATTTTTCAGTTTCAACATGTTTCAACCAGATTTGTCATGCTGATCCCCAATGACGAGCCTATTTGTCAGATGGGTGGCTCAACCACCAGGTGGAAGCTGTCCTGCTGATGCTTCAGTCGGCCCCGGA